GCGTTGTCATGATATTATATATATATATATATATAATATCATGACAACGCTCATCAGGTTGGCAGCAGGTGATAAGTTGACTACAGCATAAAAGCTGAAATTCTGCTCACTTCTAGAAGGGTTACGTCGCTTCACATCTTGAGGGTTAGTCGTTTCAATTCATTACTATTTCATCCCCAATCCGTGACTTACTGCTTCAATTCAAACCCCATAACCTTCGCCCGTTCTCTCCTCTGTGTAAGAGAAACTGAAGGGTTTTTAAAGTCTAGGACCGCAGCTTAGGTTATGCGTGCAGTTTTTGGACGTCTCCACTCAATGTTTTATCTGAAGGCCCGTTCTGTGATTTTGATTAAATCACACGTCTATCTCAGCACAAAAAACCGCCATCAAGATAACAAGATGTGAGCGCAGTCGAAGTTAGCATCCGTTCTTGTCAAAACGATTTGTTCTGGCATTTATCTTGTTATTTGAACGGCTGGCGGTACCCGTATGAAAGAGTACAAACAAATAGGTGAAGATAAAGCAGTGACAATTAAAAAAATGCTGAATATACGATGGTGGAACAATGTTTAGAACAACACGTAATACACAGTCTCGGAAAAAAGAAAAGTGCAATGCGAAAAAGGAACGGAGTTGATATGGTGATAGGATGAAAAAAAGCAAGTAGTGGATCGAACTGTAGGTGAGACTTGTTCGTTTTGTGTAGTGAACAATGATGAAACTCAGACACCAAGTGTTTCTATTGAAACTCAGGGACCATTTCACTTCGCACAGCGCGCACTTGGTTCGCAGAATTACTAGCAGGCCTAAGGAAACATTTTTGAATTCCATCTAAGACCTCTACGAATTATTTTTGGCTCGCAGGCTTTGACAAATGCAGCAAGGTTGGCACTTGAGCTGAATGAAGCTGTAGCCTACGTCTTCAGAAACAGCTTTGAAACATCTACACTGATGTGATTCAAGGCAAGAGAAGCCGAATATGGTTACCTTTATATCCCTATTACCTACATTTCTCGTTTTTGAGTATTGGCATTTTGCCACTTTTTCCTCACAAAGAAAACTCACTTTGAGACTGCGTTTCCAGAACTGGCCGTGGTGATACTCCAAAATCGGAGTCGTCCACGTACGGTATGTCTGCGATCGATCCATCACACCTGTTTCGGGGTTCATTACAGTATCATTCCCAGTTGCGAAGCATTTGCAACTCACCTAGTGGATGGTCTGTCTATTTCTTCTATCGTTATAGAAGGTGATACTTCCACACTTTCACTGTTTGGCTCTGACTGAACGGCGTTATGCGAGTCCATGGTTATGGCTGGCTTTCTGCAATGGATATTAACGTTTTTCCATACTGACGTCGACTACTATTCGTAAAAGCCATAGAAAAGTTTTTCTCCAGTCCGACCGTATTCCCGAAAAAAGTTATAGCACTTAAGAAGCCGTGAAAGGTCTTTATTTCTGCTTTACGGTTATATGCTCAGAAAAAAACGTATGCTCAGGGAAAAAAGCATTTGATAATATCTATACAGAAATTGTAGAGTGTGAAGCCGGCCGTAGAAAAAGTGACGTCTTTTTTTCTGTCAGAAGCCCTACATTTCGACGCCAACAGTAATGACTATCGAATTACTACCTGCCTGAGAATTCCTATCTGCAAATTCTTTCACAAAAACAACATAATTGCGTGATTAGATCATAGGAAAGGCTTCACAATCGGGGGTCGAATCCTCCGGGCTACCCACGAGTTCGTTACACTTCGAATTTGCATTATCACCCCCTGTCATAGTGCCCAAAGAGGGGGAATTTTGTAACCAAACCCCCAAGCGCCAGCGGCTTCACGGCAATTACCGTAATCTCCCACTAGAAATTGAGATCTCCCCCTTTTTAGTGCGCTATTGCACGCCATTCGGGTACGAGAGCACACACTTCCCTTCCCAGAAGTGGGTATTACCCTGTCCCACAAGCAGAGTAGGCAAATTATTTCTGTTGAAATTGTTTGAATTTTTCATTTCTGCCTAACGAAGGCATGAAATAAAGCACTGGGATGAAATTTCAGCCTTTGCTCCCTGCCTAATGGCCCAATAATCGAATAGGGGAAGGCGACTTCAAGCAATAACCGTTTTTTTTTTGAGATTCAGGGATTATTAGTGTCATGCTTTAACTTCAGCAAAGCTCCCTTCTAGTGCTCCCTTAGTGAAGGAGCGCGATGATGCGTGAAGTAGCTCACATCACAACGTCTTGGCCTCACAGTAAAGGAAAATCACTTCGACAGAATTCGAAGGGAAGGGGAGAGCATGGGAATAGAATGTTTTTCCGTTTCTTGTCTGAAATACTCATAATGCCCAGTCACCGATATAGCTTTTACAATGAAAATAGTGCTATTCATTGGTAAAACTCCCGGACTGAGCAGGAACGATTCTTAACAACCCACTGAACATACCGAGTCCCGGTAAGGTGGCTCTAATAATCCCTGCATTGCTGGGAAGGGCTCCAGTAACGAGATATATGCTCATCGAACAGGGATTAACGCCGTAATGTTTTGACCCGCTATGGTGGCCGGCTTCTCTACGAAGAGGTGCTATCGATGGAAATGAAGGGTGGCACGATAATAGCACGTCCATTGAGTGTTTCTGCCATTGTAAAGAAATCTTTGCGAATGCGACTCAAAACATTCTCGCTTTATGCTCACCTCACTGTCGAAATTCGATATGAATGATCAAGAGCACGGAAAAATGGCGGAAGCGATTGGGACTGATCGAAAAAATGCACTACCTGAAAAACAAAAGTAGTAATCATAGATGGTCACAGATAGGAAGCCTCACCTGGATCTCAAGCTCTGGTAAAAAGCTGCTAATGGTATTCTCACTTCTACGTAATTCAGCTGTACAAGAACGAAATCGACGTCGAGGTGATCGGTAGGCTCGCCTATAAATCATACTTGAGTTCGGCTCTCCTCAAGGGAACTATGGCATAGCGGGAGAAACCCATTAAATTAATCTATCTACACATACAGGTAATTCGATTAGATTAATTATGGCGAGATGGAGAATACAATTCAAAAATTCCCTCAGTCCAAAGTACCCATGGCATAGGTAGAGGTTGCTGAAAAGCGCCGCCGAGTCGAGAACATAGTGAGGCAAGTCGTATTGATGTGCAAGGATAGCCCACACACGAAGCTCGAATCTCATGGTTCATGAATAGTCCTAATGCGAAGCTTTTGTGAGATTCAGTCCTCCTCTTTCAAACGACTGACGAAAACACTACCCAAGAATATTGAAGGGAAAAGCTGCATCTAGGCCATGTAGAAAAAGAGTATAAATAAAATATTTTTAAGCTCCCAGGCTGTAACGAGAGCAACTGGCGGAAACGTTAGCCGAAAAAAAAAATTGTAATATGCGAGCCTTCAGAAAAAAACACTTTAGACATCACTATCACATTCAGTGAGGGCCGAAAAAGGTTGCTTCTAAAGGATGAACAAACAAGTTCTGCCCTTAGCATCGCTAAACGTCTTACAGCCGATATTGAAGGCCATGGAGAAAAGTGGGAGCCAAAAAATGTTGGAAATGTCTGTCTCGATATGGATGATCTCGGTAGTGTAAGGGATAAGAGCACGGTCCCCGGAAAGGACAAGTCCGGGTTCGAGTCTCGTCCATGACTGAAGTTTTGTCGATAAATCGTCATCCTTGTGAGACTTTCGTATCGCGTGGTGCGGCGATATAACAGCACTTAACAAAACATCAAGTCAAAACATTATCCGACACATTGAGGATGACACTGAGCCTTTTCATAGTTCGAAGAATAAGAAGTAACCTATAAACTCGGATAGAATAGTTAGGGTGAGAAAGAGGGTAGTGTAATGGCGAAACTGGGGAAAGCTGAGCATTATCCGCCCCTGAGCGCTCCTCAGAGGTTTGTAGACGTGAAATACAATTACAATTTCATTCGGGTGCACAAATTGTTTTGTGCTCAAACACAATTTTGCCGTACGTTTCCATTCGATGCAAATAAAAACGGATTAATCTCCGTGGAAACGAGAAGAAACTCATAATAAATGTAGGACTCAGACGTACAAGGATAGCCGAATGATTCTTGGTAATGACTAGAAGACAGCTGGCACTAATGGCTATTCCCCGCAGAAAGGTTTCTCAACGAAGAAATCCCCCCTGCAAGGTAGATGAAGTCAACCAGGACTTTGAACGCTTCTATTCCAGCTGGAGCAAATGCAGCCCTCTAATCGGGCTCAGCCGGATTGCCCAAGTGGCTAGTCCCAAAAAAGAATCCACTGGAAATGGAGAAGAGTTAGGATTAGTGATTTTGTGGGATGACGTGACTAGTAATACTGAAACCATGAACAACAACCATGCGAATTACGACTGCTTTTGATGGCAACTCCGAGCTCTTTAATCATATCCTGGCATCTGTACATAAACAACTGACTAATTAATTCTATTCTGTGAAGTCACAAAGATAATCAAGCTGAAAGCTACCACATTTTTTTGCTTTGAAATGTAGCATGCACCCGAGTCTTCCATTCTGAATCCTAGAATCACTGTAATTCGCTTTTGGGAGAAACCGGTACGGGATCTTCCCTACAAATTAAGCTAGCTGCAGCACCACCGTTCTCTGCCACTGTTCTATTCTTGTGCCAGTGTGAATTCCTCACTGGAACATCTGCCCCTAACTTGGTTTTTCCACTTAGCTTCGCATGAGCACCTTTTTTTCTCGAAATTGGGTTTCCACACAGCAACGCACTCAGGTGGCTAAAACTGGATTTTACTTTAGCAATACCTTTTGATTATAAAGTAGGCAGACAAGAAAGGAACAAAGGATTATCAGATATGAGACCCGTTGATGAGGGATTACCGATAGTCCTTTTCATAGTTAGGTTCCGAAAGTTTTGAAAGAGAAAATTGAAAAAACGAATAAGCTGGAATCACATAATCTTGGAACCTTTGATCACTACAGATCATGGTGCAGTTTGTGCCCAGCCCAGTTTCCATTTGTATTCGTTGGACCAGTATTCTCTGTCCTCTTAGGCGATTTGTTTTCTGCAAGACCACATCCCTACTAGTGGTTAGTCCTCATTTGAGACGAACACTATCATTCCTTGGTGCTTTCAAGTAATCAGATGTGCTGAGTGCCAAGCCCAGACTTCACAGGGCTATTAGCTGGCTGATTGCTTCTTTGCCTATTGATCCTTTTACACGGTAAAGTAGCTCTTGGCCGGTGGTTTCTGCGTTTAGGATTGAACATCGTACCACATTTGACCACATTGAACATCAACATTGAAGAAGTATGATAGCTTTCCGTCGTTACTTCTACTACTCTTATGGCGTTCCATTGAAAGATCTGAAATGGAGAACTCCAATGATAATATCTGAGAGAGGACAACGCGCCTCAAGCATACTATATTATTGCGAACCCCCTCATAGAACGCATTTTTCCGCAAATGCGCTTCCACCTGTCGGTGGGCGTGACTTGTTTTTCAAGAAGTTTGCGGAAAAATAGTATAGAGTGCATTCAACTTGTGATTTCAGGCTGGTCACAGCCTCCGACTTCGGATGAAGCCATATACGGAAGGGGACCCATTATTCGTAATGAGAGTGCTCGACTATTCTAACTTAGAGAAGGGGTACCAATGGAAATGATTACGCGACTCTTCTGTTCCACTTCGCCCAAACAAACTGTAACTGCTGTTCTGCACATGTTGCCGATGACTACACATTTCATAGCTCCAAAATAAACAGACTCTGCGTAAAAAAAGGGATGCGTTTCGAGCTGTTTCCCGCTACCGGTACTTCACGTTCCGGACACGGACAACCGCACATTTCATGGTTCCAGGTTAAACAGAATTTACGTGGAAATATTTTGCTGGGATGTTTATGACCTGTTCTCTCGATATCACTTCTCACTAAAAATTCCATACCAGATACGTATGCACGAGGCACACTCAGCCCATTGTGGGCGGGCCTCCGCTGACGTCATTTGGGCTGCAGAAACCTTCGACAATGCTTCCCCTACATCAATTTTTTCCTGCTCTGTTGGCGTTCTCCAAACCGAGTTATAAAATTTGAAATGGTGCTCAGTACAGCTCATTTCGATGAACGTCACACCCACTGTGGGCGGGGCTCCGCCAAGCTGTTGTGTGCTTTATACTTCTCAGGACATGGCCCACCTAGCCCATGCTCGACCCTAACTCTCCAGGCAGATCTAAAGGAGCTAAGAAATTTCGTGAGAGACATACATAAGGACAGACAGAACGAAAGACGAGCGCTTTTATAGCAAGTAGGATGTGCGCGTCAAGATGTGGAAGAAAGCCTCAGTGTGCGAAATCTCTCATGAACTTGATATGCTGTGAATGTCGGTGGGGAAATCAAATAATTCATCTCTAGTTGTAATTAATAAAAACGTACCCGTCATCGATGTACAGATAATAAATAATGGGCACGCAGGCCTAAGACGGTCTTTGTATTTTGGTCAAGGAACAGATAACTAGGATCGAGTTAGTCGCTTGCCCAAAGCTAGTCATCTATTGCAGGCAGGCATAGATGACACCACTTAAAATGCTACAATTCAGGAGTTCTTCAATTAGATTCATAATGTGAACCTTACGAAACTCGCTATTGCTCTGCTTTATGCTCTTCCGGTATTTCAGAAGGCTGGCTGAGAGGGATTCCTTGTTGTTTACGCGACAGTGACGGCTCTATCATGCAATTTTCCTGAGGCCTATTTGAACAACGTAACAAACAAGAAATCCGTTTATGTTAACCGGCCTTGGAGGAGCTGACCAACAATTTGATCCGGAAAGTTATGAAGTACACTCTGCTGATGGCTATCCTGCACAGCTGATGAAAGGTCTTTGCAATACCTAGCATTGAGTGAGCTTTCATCCCCGTTGGACGACGCTCAGAACACCCGGGAGGTAGGAGTATCCATTCTCAACCTTCTGATAAACCTTTTGTTCAGCTTCGCCATCTTTCCAAAAATATAGGCAACGTACTCATCAGATTAAACCGAGTCTAAAACGTCTTTTCCGTTGAGAAAGACGTAGTTCCGAAAATAGAGGTTTGTGATTTTTCAATTCTACGTAGGATTAGAAGTATCCGAGATAGCTTCAGAAAAATCCAAACGACATTCCATTTCTAGCATAGGAAAAGGTTTTGGGTATCTATAAAACGAACGTCCACTTTGATTAAGTGCACACGTAGGCTGTTTTTATTTTGCATCGAGGCAATCGCAAATTGACGATATTTAGGGCCTTTTCAATAATGACGCATTGCCATTGCCAATCCAATATCTGTTGCTCTGCATTGTGCATTCCTCAGTCCTTTAGTGGTAATAACTTCGAAATGGTGGTCCGTAGGAAAAGTGATCCGATGATCTTTCTGTTGTTTGCTCCTCACTATGTTTAATTCGGTTCATAAAGTTGGCTCTGTCTTAATTGCCCTAAAATGAAATCACAGACTTCCCTCCATCTATGTTCAATCGCTTTCCAACAAGAATCTGGTAGTAGCCAGCTACAAAATACACTTTGGCATTACATTTCAACAAAATGGAATAGAATATACGTTGNNTTGAGCCTGAGCTCTTATGTGTAATGAATACTGGAAGGAAGGCAGTGGACTTGGGTCGCTGCAAGGAATATTGCAATTGATGGGTAGGTTCAGCTTTCTGTCAAAGAGCAAGAGCCGATAAAAGGATGGCTGTAATTCTGAGTCCAATAATCTGAAACCTAGACCTGTTATAAGATACCTCCTGTCAGTCTAGTTACTTTTGGAAGAGGTTTACTCGGTCAACTTCCGAGACGAAAGTGATGGTGACCTCATTTTTTTTATGATCATGAAGCTTGTGAGAACGATTGATGGCTTTCACTGAGATTGCATTTTAATCCTGACCCCTCATTCATGCTGAATCATGGAAGGAAAGCAGTGGAGCTCTATAGCTACAAGAATTGTTGCGGTTGATTGGTAAGCTATTCGTGAAAGAGCAAGAGCCTGTCAAACCGAAGAATGAGATGGCGGTACATCAAGCAATTCTGGGTCGGAACTTCTTAAAACAGGCCTGTTGCAAGATGATATATGCTGGTCTCAGACAGGTTCCGTATAGAAGAGCCGTTTTTATCGACCAACTTTCGAGATGAGAGAAATAGTGAGCTTTTCTAATCAAGATCAAGATCATTCAAAGGATCGTAACAGAGGAATTTTCCTTGATAAAACCTAGTCAAAGTCAAGTTCGAGTAAGTTCAGAGAGAACGGAATGAGCAACGCTCAGAATCGATTCAGCAAAAAGTAAGATTCATTCAAAAACTTTAAAAACTGGCCCTGAAATCGGATACGAGAAGTTTCTAACCAGAGGGAAACACTGCAAGCTGGTTACATCTGACACCAGGAAATTTCTCGCATAGCAGGAATACAAGACTGTTTTCCATGTAATCGGCGCCACTACCTCACAATGCTTAACTAACTACATGCATCATGGAACTCTCATTGGGTTCTACCATAGGAGATCTGTAAAACAAAGTAAACCCATGGTGCCTGATTAGGCTGGCTTATCTGTTCCGATGGCTTTGCCAGTAATTGCATGGACATATAGCATTACGCTTTTGCCGTGGAAATACCAATGAGAAAGATCATCCAGAAAAACGATGGAAGGCGTCATTTCCATGAATTTGTACCCTCAATAGACACATAGATTTTTCTGAATTCGCAATTTCTGTACTGTATATCATGAAAGTTGAAATACCCCTAATCCCCATACATTAAGTGTAACCCCAGAGCCCCATCAAAGGTGTCTATGTGTAACAGAGAGCGAGTAACTCTTCTTGTTTATGGTAATTACAGAACAATACGAATGCGGAAGTAAGGGATATGACTATTCGTTGTGATTAAGGCTTAGAGCCGTGAAATAAATCAGATTCGTATATGTATAGGTAAATTGATTACACTTCCTCTCTGCCTCTCAGGAATGCCGAGGAATGCGTCACGCTTGGATAAAAGGAGACGTAAAAACTCTCTCAGAGTCCCCTCATTCTTACCGACTAAATATTTCTTGACGGATCCAACAACCGATGCAAACATGCTTGGTGGAACTTATCTGAAGCAAAGTGGATGCTGATGTGGAACAGTGCGAAGTGGCGTAGCTATGTATGATTGCTAAGGTTGTTGATCAAACCTCGCGTTGACATCGTTCAAGGTGAGAGAACCTTCCCTCCAGGGACGGTCATTTGAAATTATATTCATGTATGGAATGAAGGCAATGGTATCTGCAATGACTGATCACGAGATTAGTTATGTGAGCCAGATACCGTCTAGCGATACCGTGACGATCTTGAATGGGAATCAGGTGCGTATGGAAATTTCTCAATAAAAATGAATGAATGATATGAAAATGAATGAAAATCAACGGAAAGCCGATAAGTCTGATGTAGTATTTGTCATTCGGAGCAAAAACGACTGATCACTCATCAGTAAAATGGGAGCATAAAAACCAAAATAGCAAATGCTGAAGCAAGAAGAGACCTTACTTCAACAAAAACGGTGGTTTCTACATCGATAATTTGTTGTAGGGGCCAGATATAAAATGGTGAAGCAGCAGTGCTGAAAAGCTTCTTTTTCAGATAGAGTCGACGGATGACGAGGTTCATAAAGAGCTTTCCCCACTCGGAATTTTACTAGGGTTTAAAGACAGCAAACAGGAAAAGTCATTTCTAAAACCACGATGATCGCTCCCTCTTAGCCGGTATCCTCACGTATGATCGTAAAGGAGCGCTGAACTGCTTCAACAGGTGGAAGGGGCATACGGGTAATTCTGAAAGAAAAGAACACTGATTTGAAGTTCCCGTAGAATCCTTCTGAATGAGTAAAGCACACACAGCAATTTACGATTCTCTTTCACATTCATCAACGCCTTTCACAATTGAATTAGAATACTTCCACGAAGAGAGTAACAACAGGAGTTCAGACTCTGGGGCCAGCCATTCTACGAAAGTGGAATATCTAGATGAAGTCGTGCAGTCCTTTTTGAAGGAGCTGCGCCTGTCTATGGTATGGCCAAGTGATTGAAATGAAGGAAATCCGCCTTACTTAGCGATTGAAGCTGATCTATCGCTTTCTCTCTTGCCGTCTCATCTTAGAATTAGTCAGTGTGGAAGAGAGAAGCGAAAGCAGTTACAAACCAGTAGCTTGAAGTAAAAAAGTAACAGATCCTCGACTGCGTTCTCGTAACTTAATCAAAAATTCAAGTAGACTTCCAGGAACAATTAGCCTAGAAGCCTGTAGTCGATAGGAGGCATGGAGATGTGGGGATGTCACAAATGGTAGAGGCATGGTCAGGTGGCTGAGCAGAAGAGCAGCAACGGTTCCGCATCAAGAAGTGAGCTGGCTTCTGTGTGTTCCGGAGCCAACTTTGTGATTTCGTGCGGAATCTGAAAGTCCATTGATAGGCTCAAACACGGCCCGAAAATAGCTCTCACAAGTCGACCCTGCTTGTTCACTATCGACAGGACTTTAGTGCTTTTTTTCCTTGACGGATGACAAAATGAGGCCAGGCTGTGCACCAACAACTTCCACGACTGGCTGGTTTGACTCGATTCCCAATAAAATGGCATTATTCCTACGTATTACGGTAGAAAGAGTACTATGAAAGGCACTTTCAATTTTCTAAGGGCTGAGTGTGGGAATTCGCACACATCCCCTGCATAAACAGCCTTCAGCATTGCCCCAGGAGCATACCACTCTCAATTTTCTGTTTAGCGAGAAATCGAGCTGTCAGGGTTTGTGGTCATAGTCGAAGAGAACGGAGGTTATTCAATTCAGTCAGCGGTAGGCGCCTTCAAGCGAACAGCGACAGTCATACTCAGTCATAGATTTCGAGAAAACCGGAATAGCTTGCCAAGGGAGGAGATAGCAAGAACTCATTCAATAGAGCTGAATTGAAGTAGATGTACCATGGCAACGATGGGATAGGTATACAAGGATGGAAATGGCAAAAACACTGGCAGAGCATACGATTGTAATTCAAGAACGGACGGACTCTTTTCAAACGCCAGACACTTAGCAGAACAAGCACGCACAGAAGTGCTTCCGAAGAAGGTCTTGAATGAGGCTGTAATCAGCCAACTCTATTCAAAAGAAGCCGAGAATCGCATCCGCCTGAGGGCATCGACAGCAACTCATTTCAAGTGGAAAAAGGATTCCCTTTATTGATGCATATCCCATTCTCCTGAAACATTCATCACTTTTGGCAACTGTCATGCTTATGGGAAGGAAGGCTATGAGAAATTTTAAACCACGATGACAAACTTCCCCCAGACAATTCTCATCAAACATGGGTGCAGGGCCATTCCAGACAAGTCAGTATCTAGTGAAATCCGCACGAAACGATTCCGGTTCTGGGGCTCTGCGCCCATAGTGAGGAGGCCAGACGTAGTTGCGAATAAAGGAAGGGCTCTATTCCTCTTCACCATGACGAGCACAAGCCAAACTCGTGACTTGCACATTCCATTCTACTTCAGATCTCCTCTCTAATCTCCATAGACTAATTCTCAAGTCAGGGTGCTTATAAGGAGACGAACTATTTTAAGCCCAGAGAGTGAAATCGCTGAGTTAAGGACATTCTCCTTTGACTTAGTCATGGCGGGATGGGATGATTAGATAAGTGCATGTCTTTCAGCTTCACAATAAGCTGAAATGTTCTATTCTAGGAGGTCGCATGGACGGAGCGCTTGACTAGCTCCTCTCCCTTGAGTTATAGATTGACGGCTCCAATGAAGTGGCCTTGAAAACATTGAGACCTACACTGAACAACGTGATAAGTGTATAATTGTGAGCATAGGGTTGGTAACTTGTTACTGCCGAGAGTTCAGAGTTGGCAAGGAGACGCGACAAACAGTACGATACTACAGTGGCTACCGAAAGAACGCAGTGAACTGGGGCCAATTGGAAGTTTTGAGAGCAAAATGCGCCAGCCACTACTTCCTTTCTGTTTTAGTCGATATGGCGATCTTATTGTTAAAACATAGTAGTCGTTGGCATTTTCAGAATTGCTATCTGGAAAATTACAGTATAGTGCTCTACAATTTCCGATAGTAAGGGTTTCAAAAACATCTAATTGTTAACCTGCTACACACTGGACACTACGTGGAACCTGAGAAAGTCACATGGGCAGTCGCCAGCACAGAAAGAAATCAGTACTTATATGGAATCCAAAATTAGCGCTTTGCTCACGTTTGTGATAAAAATCCCTGCGACAAGAACCAGAGAGTAAGCGTAATTCCCACTTCCAGACTCAATCACCTTTCTTTTGTGAGCTACTCTTTGAGGTTCGTTTCCCCCGGGGTGGACCTTCACTGATATTCCTGCTCAACTTGACAGTAATCTCTTCTTGACTTTCTGATATTTCTTAGCGTCAACAATAAAAAGGTTTTGATGGTTTCCTGGTCAGACGGATTTCGGAATACTTAACAGTCCATCACTGATATGGTGTTGTCGGCTGGAAAGGTTGGGCTAGGACGAGCACGATTTGGGCAAAAAAATCATTCAAATCACTTACCACTGAGAATACCAACCACCTACTAACTAAGGACGCTGAAGGACGTGTCAGTGGCTTTCTAGAAGCTACACTCGTCAGTGGACCTAAGTATTATGTAGGATTCTGAACTCAAAAAAAACTATGCATTCAGGGGCGCATTTCGCATTATGACGGAAATTTCCAACCCAATCCACCATTGATTGCTATCAGGTCCAGAAATGGTGACTGTTGGCCTCAATCGTTCACGAGTTAATTTCCCGGCTCGATTTGGAAATCGGTCTGATCGAGTAGCCCGCAACGCCCAAACATAACCGGGTATTTCTGCCATGTGAAGTTGTCCGAGTGAGCTTTTGAACAGATAGTGCAGTGGCTCTGCAGGTACGCGACAGGCATACCGGAAGAATTGTAGTTCCTTGTAGTACTGTCTAATAAAGTTACATTCAAACCGGTGTGCGTTAGCAAGGATACAGACTAGAAAGTGGAGATGTGCGATATGAAACCGAGGAGGGGCTCGAACATCATATATCAGCTTTGGGTTTCATCATGTGGGAGCATGAGTTGGGATGGAAGTAGAGAAAATCTAAGAAGGATCAGAAGGGGGCGTACTTTGGAGCCAATGAAAACCCATAAAGCGTAGTCGTTAAGGAAAACAACGACGATATCTGTCATATCGAGTGAACCGAAAAACACTCATTGAGTACACGGTAATATAGCATTTCGCTGGAAAAAGTGAAATGTTCTGAGAACAAATCAGCTCGTTCTCAATGCCCCACGACATTACTTCAAAAGGCATACTGTGTCCTTGCATATCTCTTTCATCGAGTAAGACGGCTACAGCGAAAAAAAAAAGATCCAATTAGTTGGGGTAGCATTATCAGGCTGTCATCGAGGCTGCATCTCTCGAATGCACTCGGGTGTAACGGATGAAACAAGTAAGAAAAATAAGTTCATGAAGGGGAAAAGGATTCGTGCCAATGGCAAATCCTCTTACCTGGGAATCGAATCGAATGGACGTTGACCAATAACGTGAAGAGCAGTTTCGCTGATGAACTGTTGCGGCCAGGGTCTACTGTCACCCCGGTACAGTTGCTCCAACAGCGTCAGCGGCCGCTGAAAACATTTCTTTAAGTAAACCATTTCAGCAAAACTGCGCTTTAAAACTAGGTCGAGACGAAATTCTCCTAGGGTAAACCTCAGCAGAGGACACTTTGGTTGACTAGGATGGAAAATGTGGCTGAACTTGAAATGTACTGTGTGTAGGGCAAATTAGGGGGCGTCCATGAGGTCTCGTTCAATTTTACTGATTCAACTATTCGCTCCGAGTTACCAGGTTACTGTATCACAAAATCCGTAAGCTGCAAACTTGGCCTTAAACTTCTAGACCCGGGGTCGGCCACTACATGAAATGAGATAGGAGTAAGTTAATCGAACTGCACTGTTGAAGGCCTCGTTTCAAGGATACCGATTGCACTTTTGGGTTTTTACTGTTTGTTAGCCAATACCCCTTTTCCCCACCTGCATTTTTCACCTGCATCAAGTTGCAGGTGAAATATGCAGGTGGGGGAAAGAGGTACATATGGCTGCAAAGGGCTAATAGCCTAATAGTTTCAATGTCAATTGGCTATTTGCCATAAGTTGTGACATTACCTGATTAATTCCAAAAAATCGTAATTGAACAGTAACCACCAAAAATTTTCACAAAATTCATGTCATTTAAGAAACAACGATCACTTCCTAGACCACAGTACCCGGAGACACGTTACCGGGAGTTTTCAATCGCTGGGCCACCATGAACAGCCGGTGCTTGCCAGCCTCTGCACGCATTTTGTTGACATTCGGCTGACAACCAACTTTCCCTTCAATAACTATGGGCATTATTCTTCTACGATTATTATTTTTTAGGATTGTTGTGCGGTTGTGCGAACAAGGGCAAGAAATCACCACCCTAATGATTCCTGCTTTCAGCAAAGTGCTGATTGAAGCAAAAGACCAAGGAGCACCACTGCCTCCCAGTAGTGTTTTTCCAAGGATTCCTCACATTACTCGATCAGAGCCTCAAGGAATTCCAAACCCTAATGATTCCATGATTGAGGAAGATCATTTTGCCTGTTTAAAATTTTATAAAATCATGCTTTGGGAACGATTCCGGTCTTTCCCATTTTCCCACATTGGATTCACTGTGATAAACGATCACCTCATACCTCCACTCTAAAAACCACCTTTTATTTCAAGGTTATAAAATGCTGTCATTCTCATTTGACAAACGAAATTGACCTAATTTCGATTCTGAAATGAGAGTGACAGCATTTTATAACCTCATATGACTGAATAGATGGACGGCTTTCATTCCTGGTGCTTTACAATGAATAGCCATCACGAATTTCTCAACCGTAGAATGATAGTCTACTGCTCCCTTTATAATGGCAGACATTATAGAGGTGTGGGAATCATTTGAATCTCTTGAATCACAGTCATTCGAATTTTTCTTTCAAATCTCCCTCCTGGTATTCCCTCGGACTCTTGAAAGCCTTCAGCTCTTTGTGGACAGATTAGCCCAGTTGATGGAATTCGTTTGTGGCTGCGCCTATCGTAGTGAAGTAAACAGATAGGAATGAGAAAGCTCGTAAGACAGGCTTCGGGCTGTTAGGAATTCTCCCCTTAAAATCCCTTTGAAGAATGAAACAAATGATTGTCAAATCATTTTGACTTGCAAAGAAAAAGTCTTACAATTGAGACACCACAGAATTAAAAAAGATCAAATTAAAAAAATAATAAAATAGTCCATTTTCCGAGGCCTTTTACACAGCCTTTTCAGAATTTTTTTCATATTTTGCTGGAGCATATGGGCATTGAACCTAATACGAAAAAGTGCTGCCGCACTCAATTTGCTCGAGCAAATAGAGCTGTCACAGCGTGCATGTAGTGCTCTTTTAGGCTTGACCAGTCGAATCGGATCCTACCCAGCTATGAAACGAGCAAAAGAAGCACTCCCATCAGTACTCGCTGGCTACACAGGTCGGTGAAGCCTTTGAGCATCCAGAAGGATAACTTCGATTGGAATGACGCACGCACACACTAGAAGACCATCCAAGCTGAACACTTTACCATATCAGTTTCGCACCTTCGGTCAGGATGCTTCCGATAAGGAGGAGAATCGGCTCATCAGCCTACTTCATACACACAATTATCACTGTATGAACGCATCAGCTATCAAATCTCCAGGCTAACGTTTCCATAAACTGAAGAGTACTGACCTGATTCAAATTAGTTAGTGACTGAGCGAGTGGTGAATCTGCCCTGATGATACTATCGGAAATCTCACTGTACGGTATCGAAACAGCTGAAATAGGATTAAGATGAAGTAGTAGATTTGTTAATGGCAAAATGTAAAAGGCAAAACTGAAATTTCAATCTTTCAAAACAACTGGGCTGGTAGAACAGAGGCCATAGTTCGGAACCACGGTGTTGCAAGAAAAAACTCGCGGTGCGACCAAAGAAGTCAGAGTTGATAATACGATAGAATGGCTACTTCGCTGAGAAGCTGAGAAATTTCAATGGAGGAGCGCGCTCAAGAGCACAAATTCAGCTCAAACCAACATACCCACTCATCCATCTCCATGTCTGTCTCCGTTCCCCTCCTCCCTCCCCCTTGCCCTTCCTCTCTTAAGCCAATCCACTGGTTTTTAGGTTTGTTCGGCTCGATAAAAACACCGAAATGCACATACGCTGGGGCCTACAAGTGCCACGAGTCTTCTGCCTGATATCCTTCATTGAATTAACCTTAAATGAAGGCGAAATCGTGGCTCACCCTAACGGAATCGATTATGATGGTACACCTTATTGTGAAGACTCTTTTAGAAGCAATATGTTCACCAAATAATTGAATGTAGATAACCTTTATGGACTCTTGGATGTTCGTACAAAGGGTCATGAGATCTCAAAGCGCGGGTCTAACAAAGATCTGCTGCTTTAGAAGTATCATCAGCCTAATTGAAAAGGTTGGCGGAGTTCTAGTAAAAAGCCACCGCACAGACTACTCAGCCCCATAACAGAGGCTCATAAATCTTTGGAAAAAAATCATCTTGTCAGAATCCTTGTAGATATGCTGTACGTATAGTACACTATTGGGGGTTCAAGGCTCAAAAGGTAGGTAGACATTGTTATATTTTAATGACATCCAATTATGATACCGTATCCTCGGTGAGATATTACATATTCTTCGCCTTGTTTGCTCATTTTTTCGATTTGGGAGATCGTTCAAGGTGCGCTTTTTAATATTTGTGGGACTCTGCCTGGAATTGGATTACTCTCTCAGTCTATATGCGACCCACAGTATCAGAGGTCCCCGTTTTGTTGGTTCCCGACACAGTTGTGAGAAATTGGCCTTCCGCAGTGGCCCAAGTTCTGCTTATCAGTTTTATTTCATTTCACGGGCCTGTTCACCCTACCACCTTTCAAACTCTTTCTCACCATCAGTTCTGCATGGGGTAACATACTCAGTTGACACTCAAAACAAACAAGTGCCCACCCAGTGTCTGAGAGACCATATTGTGAGTTCTTGCTGATACACTTCCTTTCATAATTTTGAATTTTACGAGAACAACTCACTATTAACACTGTCGACCAACCGCGCGTCTGTGATGTTGTCGAAAAGAGCCCCTTCAGAGAAAGCGTAGACAACGTCGACGAACCGCTCCAGAGGACAGGAGTAGAGGGTAGCGTTTGCGAATCGATGCCAGCCAATCCTCTCACAGCTCGAATCTAACTGAAACAAAACGATTAGAAATTTGCACTTGCACACTTTTCGATTAGGTTCCAATTTCTTTTCACTCTCATATGGGTGAGGCATCGACTTCTATATCCAATACTACTTCATCCACAGAAGGGAGATGGTCGTGGATCGATAGAATAATCTCCCTGGAAAGTGTGGAAAGCCGCTCTACGTGTAATTGATGCCAGTAAAAACACTTTGCCCTTCAGAAGTAACTGGTGCAGTGGTGGAAAGAGAACATCGAAAAATCGCCGGATTTCCTTCAAACGGAAAACAACGATTTTTGTTTTTCTAGAACGCTGCACACAAGCTCCTCTGGATTTTTCGGGATCTAACTACCAGTTTCGCCTGGGAGGGTAATATTTCTGAGTTTCAAGGGTAGTTGTATAGCCAAATCGGATGAATCAAGCAAAACGGAGTGACGTATACCGTACAAAAATGCTGCAATATGGAACGGCATCAAAGGCAGTGAGCCTGGCAGTGGGATTCGATTCGTTGGCAGATGTCCGTTGAGCGATGAAGAACACAGTGCTGTCGGCTGCTGTTGGAGGTACGACACTGCCCTTTGCAAATCGCCATTGCGATGTTTTCAACGGCTAAAATGGTCTTCATCGTCAATGGAATTTCAGCCGGAATGATCATCAAACCTCAGCTTTTTCAGTGACGACTTCGGTTCGCTCGTTTCTATACAGTACCGATCGGTTGTTACTTACAGTGGAAATTTGTGGATCACTAGAGTATCGTGATAGTCCATTCGATGAAGACGCTGATGTAACTGATCTGGAATCGCCAAGTTAGGGGCATGGGACATCGGGACTGGCTGCAAGTTTCAACTTACGGTATGTGTCTACAGACGAGCATCAGCCCGTCATTGCTGACATGAGCGAGGAAGTCGGCCAAGAAAGCAGCCAACCTCCGCCTTCGAGCTGTTTCCACCACTGACGAAACCAGCGACCACACCAATCCGATCATCTCCACATTTTAGTGCTAAAACCTTCTTTTACTGCCGACTCAGTAGATTGCAAAAGAAGAACAGATCAAGGAATCAAGCGATATCAACAGCTTCTCGACAATTTTTTTTTNTTTTTTTTTGATATTACTGCAGCACACCTGCTGCAATGGCATATCAGAAAGCAACGGAAAAGGATCGAGTTTCTCACAGTAACACAAGAAGGAGAACCATGGACATGGGAGGAAATTTGACCATTTTCTATAAAGAATTGAGCGCCTCCTTGGAAGAGATGAAAATGAATGAATCGCCTTCTCTAATGGAGTTATGAAGAAAAAGGAAAGTTCTGATGAACGACTTTAATGAGAAGCGCAGCGAAGATGAATGTAGCCGATTCATTTAACCCACCTATTATTCACCAGCGATAGATAATCTATGACGAGGGAGAAAGGACAACCAACTCCCATGTAAGGAAAGGGCTATCTCGAGTGAATGGAATCTCGAAAATCAAGTTCCTTTCCAAAATCATTTTACTATGTCGCCTGGCTGTGCTGTCTCTGACACTCTGTGTGCAAGTCAGATGTATCGTACCCCTCCTTCCTTCTCGAGCACGAATAGTTTGCGCTCCAACTGAACCTTTTGTGTACATACAATCCTTCCTGCTAATACATCTAATAGAAGAGAAGTGTGACAGCATATTAAAGACATAGTTCACGATAATTCTGAGGTGTCTGGCTCAAGCAAATCAGTGGAAGTCATCTTGCAGAATAAAGCAAAAATCGTGAAGAAAACCCCTAAAATTTTCCGCTTGAGAGGAATACAATGCTCAAAAAAGTGGTGAGAAAGAAGGTTGTACGAGATTAAGTTTCTGTAATTGTCTGGGAGTCTCCCACATAAGCGTCCTATTCGTCGGCATCCTGGCGCTTCGTTGTGAATAGTGCAGCCTCGAAAAGAGCCATGAAGCGGCACCCAAATTTGAAGCACTTATAACGCCCTGCCATTCTTCGACATGACAATGTTTCACGTGCTATCCTCGGAGGATTGGTCGCATAAAGAATTCAAAATCATATTCAAAGCTTAGTTACGCTGGATCAGATGGTAAATAGAACCATCCGTATGTACTTTTTTCTGGTTGGGACTTATGAATTATCATTTGCCCTAGGACGTAGTACAGGAAGAATAGTCAACGAGTAATTGGAGAAATTATCATCATCATTATCCTGTACAAGATGCCCCTTTCTCTTTTTGCACTTCCAAACAGCTTTCATCACCTTTGCAACAACTTTGATTTATACCACTACTGCCTTACTATAGGGAGAGGGGGGTTAGGAACGATCTTGGGTAATCGATTCGCCGCACGCGGCTGTCGCGGACCACTCATTCGCCGTTATCACAGCTGTAGCGTTCTTCA